TAGGAATAGCTAAGAGCTTGTTATAAAATGATTTGGCCTTAGATTAAGAATAATTTAAGAGCATGGTTGAGATATTGAATATCAAATGACTTGGAATAAAATAGTGAGAATATCATGAACGTTTGAATTATATATTGGGTGCATGATATCAAATGGTTGATTATGAATTGAGATTCAATTTATTTGAATGTTCGACGCTTTAGATATGCTTACTCAGCTTCACCGCTGAGCGTGTAGTGTGTTTTATTTGCTACACGCAGGTAGGTAGAATGAATGATTGGCTGATTTCTGGCAGCAGAAGGGGCGAGACAGTTGTGGTGGATCATTGAACAAAATAAATAATTATGTTGTTACGAGACATGTTTAAAAGTCGCTTCCGCATTATTATTAAACACTCCGTATTTTCTACAATTATGTATGGAATATTATTTATAAATAAAAATGTTTGAAATGTTTTAAATTATCACGATTACCAAATCAATACTTTAGTCCAAAAGGGGCTGCAGACCTGGACGGATTAGGGTGTTACAATTTGGTATCGGAGCAAAGTGAGGCCGAAGACAGATATCTTTCTAATCTGTATGGTATGGGACATACAGCTTGGTAAGATACATGTAGCCGGTGGAGGTAGATATCTCTCTAATTTGTGTGGTATGGGACACACAGCTTGGGGAGATACATACAGCCAACTCATGATCCTTGGGAACCCTCGCGCGTGAACGGTGGCGAAGCGTGACTCCCCGCCTAAGGGCTCAAGCAATTGAGTGCTTTGAAAGGACCAAATTGTAGCCACATAGATGTGTTACAGTTTGGTATCGGAGCAAATTGTTTTAAACACGATCTTCGGATCAATGTTTGATTTAATAAAAATATATATATATTATATATTTTGGGTAAAAATTTTTTTTATTGTCAATCACATCCACGACTCTCGCATCCCTCTGCTCCAGGAAAAAGGTATGAGAATTTACTTAGTAAATGTTGATTTTGTTAAAATTCTCATTAAATAATAATTGTTAGTACAAAAAAAAACTACATTGAGCTAGACTCAAGTCAATCCTTCGTACTCGGTGAAGAGACGAAAGAGTAAATGAAATGTGTATAACCTTCTGATACGTTATTAGCTTACGCATCGCATCGCGAATGGCAAAATTGATCTATACCGGAACGTCTCGTAGAAGTAAGACGACTTTGAAGAAACGATTAATATTGATTTTATGAACAACATCTGAGAAGCTGAGGTCAAAGATCCTGACTCAAGACGATCTGATCGCTAATTCAAACACGAACGTTTAGAATTAATAAACTCTGTTATCTGAAGTATTCCATTCTGATTTCTAATTCATTATGACGCAAATATGTGGTTATATCAAATAAATCGAAATCGTTCGTTAAACAATAACTCCTTGTAAAACATCGTTGAAATACCATACAAGGAAATTGACATTATCCTTAGTATGAATTGACTGACTGAACGCCGTTGCTGTTAACAACTTGTAATGAAGAATTCCTCAACTAAAGACCGATGATGGTAAACTCATAGAGGTGAAAGAAAATCTGATATCTAAACCAACCGAATTCATCTCGAAAATATATATATGAAAACATCTTAGCCATAACAAGTGTGAAGTCTACGCGAAAAGAAACATCTGAACTGAAGTAACGTACCGAAAGTATGTCACCTCTCTGATATGAATTTCCGAATATTTCACCGTTCCGAGAAATTGAATTCTCTGTCAATCTTGATCCCAGAAAGGACCAATATTCATAACTCTGTATTGATCGTGTTTCCATCAATGACTTCCTGACAAAGAATCACCTGATCAAGTGTTTCCTCCTTGGGAGAATACCTATTTTGTTCATACGCGAATCAATGAGACTCTATATCAACTACTGTCAGTTGAACAATTCATTCTCATTTACCTCGTATCATGACTTATTTGATCAGCTTAGAGAATCCATTGTATTCTCTAAGATTGACTTACGGTCAGGATACCCACAAATCCCTATCAAGAAACTTGAACAAACTGACGACCAAGAATCGCTGTCCTTTACAATGAACTGACGAGTTGTTCGATCAAATTCAAGGAACCCGTTTGTTAGAAGCTATAGACAGCTCGACCTTGTTGAATGAACGGATGCCTTGTTATAATAACTTAATTGCTTATCGTCGAAAACATTAGTGAAATAAAGTGATGCTGACAAGGCAAATAGTTAAGAAAATTGACTCGTTCGTATA